AAATTTTTTTCTCTCCAAAATCATAAATTAATGTGTCGTAAAATTTACTATTTTGTGTATAACCCTCCACAGCATTGTTTGTTGTTGGATACGCCGTAGATCTTCAAATACAACACATTTCAACTTCAAGAAAGCTGCACTCTGAACTTCTGGACTGCATTATGCGAGCGCCCATGAGCTTCTTTGACACAACTCCGATTGGTCGGATATTGAATCGCTTCAGTCAAGACGTGGAAATTCTGGATAACGATGTGTTCATTGAGGCAGAGATAACACTGGACAAGGCTTTCAGATGTTTGGGCACCATCATTATTATCAGCTATACAATGCCTATCTTTATCGCTGTGGTTGTACCAGTGATCATTGTTCTTTATGTTGTTCAGGTGAGAGGTGGTAAATGTCATTGTTCTATATTTGAAGTAAATATTAGTTGCGTATCCTTTACAGGACGTTGCAGAACCAGCCCCAGCATTTTTTGTTCTGTTGTTGTGGTTTTTCGGGGCAAATTTTACGTTCCGTAGTTTGCCATTGCTTTCTGATTGGTCAGCTCTTGGTACCACTGTCGAAACCAAAGCCAAGACCATTCGTCCGCAGCTAGGATTAAACCCGGCACCCCGACTTAGAAGCGATTTCGCAACGCCTAAATGTGTAGTAATTCAATTCAATTTAATTCAATTTAGCATGTTTAGTTACTTCTTTGTTGCTTTTAAGCGATTAGCACCCAATTAGGGGGGGGGGAACGCTGCGTGGTTTTGAGGCATGGTGTTAGCCTCGAGTGCTAGAGGTTCCGGGTCCAATCCCCGGTAAGAGCTGGGATTTTTTCACGTGGACTAGGACTTCTAGTAATTTCCCCTGGCCTCTGTGTTCTGAGATCGGAGCCCTTGTGCACTGTTGCGCAAGTAAAACATCCCTTGGCAGTTGGAAATCGAAAAGAGTAGCCTAACTGGGCTTCCTAGTCGAAATTTTGAGTTTAAAATCTACCCAAAGTATTTTAGGGTCCTCGCCGGTGCTACAGAGCCTGTGCACTGTGTTGAGCTTCTTCGGACTCATACTTCAGAGCACTTATGGGCCCGTGTGCCATGATGTTGATCCTTTGTTCAAACTTCAAACTAGTTGTTCTTTACCAGTTAATAAAGAATGGGAAAAAAAACTTCCATTCTGATAATCGCTGAACTGTTTATTGAACAGCAATTCTACATCCGAACATCGTGTCAGCTACGACGTATTGGCTCCACCAGCAAGTCTCCGGTGTACTCGCACTTCAGTGAAACCTTGTCGGGCGCCACTGTCATCCGAGCCTACCAGGCTCAGGACCGGTTCATCTCAGACTCCCAGTTCAAAGTCGACAATTTCCAGAAAGCAATCTACGCGGCCAGAGCCGCAAATAAGTGAGTATATGTTGCTGTGGGATTTTTTTCACGCTCTAGGTATATGCAGTGACATCTTAACGAATGGTCTCCTTGATCCCTGGCCCAGGGGCCCAAGAGTATAGGGACGCCATGATAAACTGTGTTGTCACAAGGGATCCACACGCTGGTTTTCTCAGGAGCCCATAATGTCGTTAAGACGGTTCTGTGTATGTGGCCCTTCAATGCAATGAAGGTAATTATCGCCTTCTCCTTTTTTCTTCTGCATTTACCAACTGTAAGATGCAACTGAAAGTCATGGTTGTTCGTTCACATCTAAAGTGTATGCCCTTTTTTCATGAGCATCGTTGTTACGGATTGGGCTTGTTTGAGTGCAGACTGTTGGTTTCTCATGTCTTAGGCAGCTGCGCTCCTGTAATGAAACGTCAATGTCCACTATGGTAGCCACACCACCGACAGGGAACCGGCTTCTAGGATGACCATGGAGAAACGTAGATAGGTCTTGGTCATTCTTAGTCCTCGTCATGGTGTACCACTGCAGGTTGTGATTCATGTCTGCATTCCAGTCGATCTTCTCGACTTTGAATATTTGAACCTATTTTCAATCAAACCAATGTATACAGAAGGCCAACCCTGGCAATAAATGTAGCAGAAGTTGGGACTATGGGATTGTAGAAAGAAATAACAAGATGCAAAACAAATACACGAAGGCTACTTTATGATATAGAGCTAGGTAAAGACTAGTGAACATGCAACACACCTTTTGTGTGTGTATGTGTGTGTTTGTGTGAGAGTGTGTTTGTGTAATGAATCATTTTCTCATTGTTAATTAATGTTCTCATCATTTGTAAATAAGGTTAACTACTAAGCATAAATTATGTGCTTGAAGTCTGTTGAATGGTGCGAAACAGTGCAGGCATGAACTGTTCGAGGGTGAATGTTACGAAAATCTAACCTATATACGCACTAGGTCACTTTTCATTCATAGTTTGTTAGGCTGGTCAACTTTGCTGAAAGTTACTGAGGTGTCCCGCTCTACCGTTTGCTCGAAAAGCTTCCGGCGTTGTCTTTCATTTACGTTTTCATTCCGAGAAAGAAAATGCCTGTGACATAGGTTGCAGTACTCTCGTTGGGGGATTTGTGTTAAGTTCAATTCTACGAGGTATTGGAGCGTTAAAAGCGCTGACGTGCTGTAAAATAGAACACGCAATATCAACGGAATTGCGAATCACCCCCGTAACCTTCAGCAAAGTTGACGGGCCTGAGCAACAACCAATCATAAGTGACCTAGTATGTAAATAAGCGGGGCTAACACTGTTTGGGGAGATTTCCGTAATATTTACCCGGTTAGAGCAAAGAATAACTGGAGGCAAGCGTGCAAGTTGGCTGAAGTGTGATGAGAAAAGCATGCATCGTGTATGGAGCGTTCGAGAACCCGAATGTGCTATTTAAACTTGGAAGGAATTAGAACATTTAGTCTTGTTTTCGATGCTGAGAAAGCTGGATCGTATGGCATTTGGGAAATGAGAAGTGAGGGAATTTTCATAAAACGTGAGTATTAGATCGAGCAGCCGACTTTGGCAGAAATACCTGACTATCCAGTTCCATAGGAATGGCCAAGTTGGCGTCTGCTGCGAGACGAGTGTTTCTGTTCATGTGTACGTTTAGTAGTTCTTGAAGTTTCTGCGGTTGGAAGTGCTGTATTTGGTCATCTTGTGGAAAGTACCGTTAATAACATTGATGGTTTTCTATGTGACCGATCTGATCGCCCCTAGACATTCATACATCTGGTGCATTGACGGAGGCAATAGTTATTGGAACCAATAAGAATTTCGTATCTGATCAGTGGTGTGGGGTTTCCAATGTTTCTTGCTTGTATTCAAAATGAAGTTGTAAAAGAGACACTACAGAAACGCAATATGACATTAACGCAAGCTACGCAACTAGGAAAAGACAGGAAACTACATATTACTCCTCTCTGCGACGCTCTGTGACATAAGTACTATGGCAACAAATTAAGTTACAAACGGTCACAGCGCATTTACCTCTTCAGATGAACGCAGAGAAAGAAGAAGCAAACCAATAAATCATTTTGTGCGTACCTTCAACAGGTGGTTGGAGACCAGACTGGAAACTCTGAGTTGTATCATTGTGGCCGCTGCTGGTATATTTGCAGTTATTTCACGTGGTGACCTTTCACCTGGTCTGGTCGGACTGGCTGTGACTTACGCACTGAGAGTAAGTCTGTCATCTACTTCTTGGCTTACATGTACTTTTATTGTATTATTTTTTTTCTTTTTATTGATATTATATTATATTATATTATATTATATTATATTATATTATATTATATTATATTCTATTGTATTGTATTATATTATATTATATTATATTATATTATATTATATTATATTATATTATATTATATTATATTATATTATATTATATTATATTATATTATATTATATTATATTATATTATATTATATTATATTATATTATATTATATTTATTATATTATATTATTGATGAGCGGCTGGCCTTGAGGTTACAACGTCGGGTTTTCATTCGAGAAACTCGAGTTCCACCCCCTGTTAAGTGACGTTTTTCTATCTGGGACATAACTGAACACCCTGACCTGCACAGTTCGTAGCGACAGCAATAGCCATGCGGGCCTAAATCATCCAGCTCATCACAGCCCTGTTTACGCTGCCCTAAAATTGGTTAAACAAACATTAGTGACCGTTTAAATGAGTATTATATAACATTTATTTATCGCCATTCTACTCAATATATTATTTTGATTGCATGTTGGTTACATTAAAGATCAAATCAACTTTGGCAATACTCTTTTGACTCCTGGGCTCAATTTATCTTAGCATCTGGCTCGAGTTTGAGATACTGAAGACATTCTCAGATATCACCTATTCCCTTCTTGCAGCATCTGCTGCTGTTATGTCCGAACGAACCGCTTTCTTTGAGCCAACTGCTGCTCTGCAGAGAATGACAAATGTGATGACACCATTGCAATAAAATCAGTCCTTTCATCTTTAAAAATTATATTTTATACATTTTTATATATATATTTTTAATGTGACAGTCTTAGTGACTGTTTTCAACTAAATTGTGTTCTCAAATCATCATTCCCAGGTGTCCACTGAAATGAACGTATTTACGATGGTGTTCGGTGACTTGGAGACGCACATTGTGTCTGTGGAAAGGATTCGCGAGTACTCAGTAGTCCAGAGTGAGGTAGGCATTAAAACACACATCTATAGTTTCTAGATAAACGCTCGCTGTCAGATCCGACGGTCGCAGGTTCAAATATTTTTGTTTAAATGACCTTTGTTTCCAGTTTTACTTACTTGGGTACCAGGTTTAGGTCCCGGGAAGTTCCACGTCATGTTAACAACATCAGACCACGAATGCTGATTGGTCTATATTTGCGATATCCATAATACCGAGCCTAAGGGATAACAACTTGTGGCTTCTGGATACTAAAACAAACAAACAAACAAACAAACAAACAAACAAACAAACAAACAAACAAACAAACTTGATTATTGTATCTCATAGTTAGCTTATTTGAATATAGGCTCGGTATTATGGATATCGAAACCTTTAGGCCTTGGTTCCATTGTAAATACCGTAAATCTGGGACAAATGTGGCTTTTCTGCCTGCCCACGGGAGTGAACCCGGACCACAAGGAGTTCGTTACCAGGTCATCGCGCAATCTGGTTTAGCCAACTACGCTAGAGAGCCGGGCCTGCTTGGTCTTTAAAATATAGACCTAGCGCTATGTGGCCCGTACACCTAAAGACGTGGGAAAGGGTCTTTTGTAGTTTCTGAAGGTGACTACATTCCAAACATCCTTCTTGGCAACTGAAAACGGCACGAGTCATCGATTTTTTCACAATCATTAAGGAAGAACATTTATGGCTTTGAGCTTAAATGATACAGGAACAATTCTGATGATACTGCGGGTCGAATGGAGCCGCGGTAGCGGAGCGAAAAGATGCCAGTCCAAAAGTTTTAGGTTCGAATCAGCATCAGGGCGAATTGTTTCTTCCTTCAGAATTTACCTTGGCTACCACACCGAAAATGTATTCTAAACAGTATATATAGGTTTAGAATAAAAACAATGTAGCTCGGGTCATGAACCTAATTCAGTCTTAGACTCTATTCACAAACCGGAATGTTCGCGAGCTGAAATAATGTTTCATATTTAAATGAATGCAAGTCCGGTTAATCCGTTCTCCCACCCCAGAAATATATTTTCCAAAACAAAACAAAAAAGTTCCGTTTCATACCAATTTAAAATCTGATGCAGTACGTGACTTTCAAATTTGATAAAAGTGTGTAAATTCCACTACACATGGGCATCTGCTGCTGTTATGTCCGAAAGAACCGCCTCTTTGCCTGACAACACTATTAATCCCAGTCCAACGATGAAATTTCTCGAACCAGTCTTTACTGGCTTTAAGTTCGTCAGTGCCAGCATCACAAGTATACGGCGTCCTCGCCACAGAATCACTGGCCAAAATTCGAGCCATCTCCTGGCACATTGATTCCTCGCCTACACCAACTCCAGCAAACTGCTTTTTATTCATTCAAACTAAAAGTAATATTTCTACTTATTCTAACACTCAAGACCTTTGCTCGTTCACACAGTAATTCATTTAGCGACATCATCCGTCTTTAGGACATCTTTATTCTTTAAGATAGTACAGATCGTAGTCAAAATGTCTTCATAGATTGTGTTCGTGGACCGATTTGTTCTTGTCTTGAGGCGTTCGTGGCTCGAGCTCTTACTTTACTCACCATGGGTCAGGAAGAAGAAGAATAAACAGCGTCATGTCTTGGAAACTGACATCCCCTTCCTTACGCCCACCCTCCCCTACCCAATTTCGGTGGGAAGTTGGGAGGGAAAAAAGGGTGGGGGGGGGGGGTGTCGAGATGCTTACGTCCCTGGCTACAGGATATTGATGCATAACAGATTTAAACAAAATGTTTATGCATGTAAACGAAAACAACAGAAAATATGTGAAAGTCGGTGAAAGACAGCTTTTCATGACGTTGAAACGACACACTGGTATATGTTCGTCTTCGGTGCTAGCGTTTTCGGGCACAATTATTGTAGTTCACGAAAAATAAATTAAAAGGTTTTGAGGTTTTGATGGATACTCATAGAAGTAATGGGGGGGGGGGGGGGCGGAGAGAACTGGGTATATTAATGTGTTTATTTATGCAATGAAAGCACACATAGCAGATTCTCACCAGCGGACGAGTCGCCCATGGGCTCGCCGGTAGACAACTTTGTCGCTGGTGGGGACAATTTCCTGGGTCTGTCTCTGTTGATCGCATCAACACTGCAAGAGTCATTTTCGGGGCTCTTGCTGGCGTGCAATGCTAAGCCATTTTATGTGGCGCACATAACATAGTCACAATTATAACCTAAAGCTCCCATTCGGGGATGCTTGTTGAACGTGACGATTTTCTTTAAAGTTTGAAAAAGCACTTACACAGCAGATAACACAGCTTGCTGCCTTGCATAGCTCGCTAATAACTTGTCAGGTGCATACAATCCGAGATAGGAGATATTAAAGCCAGCTCCTCGTGGGAACAACTAGTAGACCTACCTTGGAGTGGCTACTGCATCGAAGAACTGGAAATGCCCGAAATTTAGTGTCGTGGATGGTGATAACATAACATAATATAACGTTAACGTTAATGGGAGTTCCAAGTGTGTGTCACTACATAACTGCACTGTTCTTGTGCCAGCGAAAAACACACAAAATGCCTATCTGTCGATTGTGAAAGAAAATTGAAACAAACTGTAATCTTGGTGAAGTCAGTAGCTGACCGACACATGAATGAAACCAGGTGAAGTATTGATGAATCATTCTAACTGAAATACAAGTTTCCATTATACGCAAGTGGAAATCACTAAAATATAGCGAAAAACGTGTCAGTCTCAGCAACAAGTTTGCACACGCAAAGTAAACATGTATAAGGCAGCTGTCAGATGTGCCAACACTAAATGTCCCACGTCAAGATTGCAGCTCACTGTTGGTGCAGATTGTCAGTTACTAAAGCCAACAATGCAGCCGGAAAAGTACACGCCATTCTAAACGTAATCGGCACTGTAACATGACACTTGCCATGTTTTCATTAATAACTGTCACACACACACTGATGTAACAGGCTTCTTGGACATCTAACGGTGATGACCAGTTACTTGATGACCAGTGGCCATCCCAAGGACAGATTCAGTTTGTAAACTACAGCACAAAGTACAGAGAAGGACTTGATCTTGTTCTCAAGGAACTTGATTGCACCATCAAAGGGGGTGAGAAAGTAAGTAGAACGTTCTTTCCATCAAAGGGGGTGAGAAAGTAAGTAACACATGTACTTTCCATCAAAGGGGGTGAGAAAGTAAGTAGCACATGTTCTTTCCATCAAAGAGGGTGAGAAAATAAGTAGAACGTTCTTTGCATATAAAGGGGGTGAGAAAGTAAGTAGCATATGTTCTTTCTATCAAAGGGGGTGAGAAAGTAAGTAGCACATAGTCTTTACATCAAAGGGGGTGAGAAAGTAAGTAGCACATGTTCTTTCCATCAAATGGGTTGAGGAAGTAGGTAGCATATCTTCTTTCCATCAAAGGGGGTGAGAAAGTAAGTAGTATGTGTTCTTTCCATCAAAGGGGGTGAGAAAGTAGGTAGCACATGTTCTTTTCATCAAAGGGGGTGAGAAAGTAAGTAGTATATGAGAAAGTAAGTAGTATATGTTATTTCCATCAAAGGGGGTGAGAAAGTAAGTAGCACGTGTTCTTTTCATCAAATGGTTTGAAAAAGTAAGTAGCGCGTGTTCTTTCAATCAAACTGGGTGAGAAAGTAAGTAGCACATGTTCTTTTCATCAAAGGGTTTGAGAAAGTAAGTAGCGCGTGTTCTGTCAATCAAACTGGGTGAGAAAGTAAGTAGCACATGTTCTTTCCATCAAAGGGGGTGAGAAAGTAAGTAGCGCGTGTTCTTCCCATCAAACTGGGTGAGAAAGTAAATAGCACGTTCTTTCCCATCAAAGAGGGTGTGAAAGTAAGTAGCACATGTTCTTTGATATTAGTGCACAGAAATACTCAGGGATATTCGACACTCAATTTGTGCTATTTGTGTGCTTGACAACTAAAGCAGACAGAACTGTATTAAATCGAGTAATTTATCTATGCGTAAATGCCTATGTGCTACCGGGATCAATGAGAGAAATGTTTTTAAGATTCCTTTTTTGAGGTGAATTCTTTTTCTTCTTAGCATTCACAGGCTATAAACTCTGGCAGATATATCTGGTTGTTCGTCCACTCCTGGATTTTGGTCTTGATCCAGAACTTGAATTTTGCATGCAAATCGGTTTTACAGCTCTGACTTATTTGTGTGCAGATTGTTTGTTCCTTGCCTCTCAAGCAGATGCACTCTGACTTTGAAATAAACAGCTCAAATTCCCCGCATCCTGCGTCATGCTTGTGAGTGGTCAGTGGGTTTATTCCTTGTGCTAAAACATGAGGCGCCGGAACCTATACGAGCAGAGGGGATTTTCGAAGACGTGACCACCGGATCGCTGGCTAGAGTGCGTTAAAGATGGTCTAGTTAAATTATCATCAGTGTGGATCCTGTTCAACTCTAGCACCATGATATCTCTTCCTGATTGATTAGGCACACGGTAACAAGAAGCGGTCAGAGAATTACAAAGGAGGCACTGACGGGGGGAAACATGAAAATCATGAGACGAGGACGCTACAGCGCTTGTATAATCACTCCCTGATTGATTAACATTACCATACGGTGACAAGAAGTGGTCAGAGAATTTACAAAAGAGGCACTGACGGAGGGAAACATGAAAATCATGAGACGAGGACGCTACGGTTCTTGTATAATCACTTCCTGATTGATTAACATTACCATACGGTGACAAGAAGTGGTCAGAGAATTTACAAAAGAGGCACTGGCGGAGGGAAACATGAAAATCATGAGACGAGGACGCTACATCGCTTGTATAATCACTTCCTGATTGATTAACATTGCCATGCGGTGACAAGAAGTGGTCAGAGAATTTACAAAAGAGGCACTGACGGAGGGAAACATGAAAATCATGAGACGAGGACGCTACATCGCTTGTATAATCACTTCCTGATTGATTAACATTACCATACGGTGACAAGAAGTGGTCAGAGAATTTACAAAAGAGGCACTGACGGAGGGAAACACATGAAAATCATGGGACGAGGACGCTACAGCGCTTGCATAATCACTTCCTGATTGATTAACATTACCATACGGTGACAAGAAGTGGTCAGAGAATTTACAAAACAGGCACTGACGGAGGGAAACACATGAAAATCATGAGACGAGGACACTACAGCGCTTGTATAATCACTTCCTGATTGATTAACATTACCATACGGTGACAAGAAGTGGTCAGAGCGTCACCAGACAAACACTGAAGGCACTGACTAAGATTTTTTTTTAAATGACTGAGGAGACGAAAAAATGAGAGTGGCTATCATAGGTGATAGACTGCATTCTGCCTGTGATATCGAAAATGGTGATGATGGTTAACTGGAATCTGTCTAGTTCCCTCGTTAAGTTCCGTATTTATGATTCTGTATTTTTTTTTATTTTTATTTTTATTTTTTTTATTTCCTCAATTTTGTGCAGACTCTAGTGATAAATATTTGTAGTTAATAAGTAACTGTGATAGTCTGCACCATAATACAGTACAACGTTAACGTTATTATTGAATTTTTAAGGTTTGATATTAAGTTTAATTTCCCTTTGGCATCACTTGGTGCTGAATTGGTGTATGACAGGCTGGATTTTGTGCAGGCCCTTTGGGAGCGAGCGAACAGTGCAAAGGCACAAATAGATCATTACGGTCTGAGGAGAATGGCTCTGCGGAGTTACCAAGCGATCTCACCGACGTTTAACACTCAAATGAAATGCAAGACGCATGTACATTCAGACAGCTACTGGTAACATATAAATTGGAATTCTTCGTTTTCTGCTGAAGATGGGAACGGAGCTCTTATGAGAGTGTCCCGAGTGCTGTTACGATGATTCCTAATTCAACATTCACATTCATTTTGACCTCCACAAATGTAATTGCTCTGTGATAGCTTCTATTGCTTTGTAGATTCTTATTTTTGTATATCTCTACCTTCTACCATTTATGTCTACCTGCCTCCCCATGTGGTTTCTGGAGCTCCATTTTTGAGAACAAAGAATGGACCCACTGCCCTCCTAACAAGCATGCCGTAAGAAGAGACTAATCAGTGGTGGTTTCTTTAAAGTCGAAATGCATCTGCTTGGAAGGCAAGCCACAAAAAGTCTGCATACAAAAAGCTAGATGCGTAAAACGGATGCGCACGCCCATGTTCTGGATCATGACCAAAGTTCAGGAGTCTACAGCTGGTGATGACTAACAAGAAGAAGAATGAGTTTGTCTTTGTCAATCATTGCTGCTCGAATTCGATACATGTTTATTTGCTATCTCCAGGTGGGCATAGTGGGCAGAACAGGAGCAGGGAAGTCCTCCATGGTTTTGTCCTTGTTTCGTCTGATAGAAGCAACCAGTGGGAAGGTCATCATTGATGGGATAGATATTGCCAAGATCGGACTGCACGCTCTTAGACGGAAGCTTACCATTCTTCCTCAGGTAAATATTCCAGCTGCTGCCATATTTCTTCTTTGTTCTTTTTCTTGTTCACTGGCTGTAAACTCAGGCGAAAACTTATGGATGTTCCTCCGCCTTCGGACTTGAGTATTGTTCCAGAATCTGAGCGTTGTTTGCACATCCGTTTCACATATCTGACTTATCTGTATGCAGACTCTTGTTTCCTTACATCCCAGGCACATATACTCCGACTTTGAAGCATGCCCCGAGTTAGTCGATGCCTACGACATGCTTAATGGGAAGGCAGTGGGGCTTCTCTTGTTTACCACATAGTGAGGGCCCCATAACCCACACGAGAGGGGGGGGGGGGTGCTGGCATACACTGTACAATACTTTTCATCGATCTATCGGTTTGTCCCCATCCAACCCCTCTCCCTTCCCCCGCCCCGTCTACTACGTAAAGGTTTATCATACCACTCTGAGAATAAAGAATCTCAGTTCTGGTTGGCGGACCAACAAAGAAGATCCCAGATCAACAAGGCAGATCCCAGACCAAAAAGACAGATCCCAAACCGAAAAGACACATCCCAGACCAGCAAGACAGATCCCATACCAACAAGGCAGATCCCGGACCAACAAGACAGATCCCAGACCAACAAGTCAGATTCCAGACCAACAAGACAGATCCCAGACCAAAAAGACAGATCCCAGACCAAAAAGAAATCCCAGACCAACAAGACAGATCCCAGACCAACAAGGCAGATCCCAGACCAAAATGAGAGATCCAAGACCAACAAGGCAGATCCCATACCAGCAAGGCTGATCCCAGACCAACAAGACAGATCCCAGACTAACAAGGCAGATCCAAGACGAAAAAGAGAGATCCCAGACCAACTAGGCAAATCCCAGACCAAAAAGATAGATTCCAGACTAAAAAGACAGATTCCAGAAGAACAAGGCAGATCCCAGACCATCAAGGCAGATCCCAGACCACCAAGACAGATCCCAGACCAACAAGGCAGATCCCATATCTAGCACCCGAGTTGTATTCTAAATGAAAATCGCATACCAAGATCCTGTAAACAGGACTTATGCCAAGTTGGATTTATTAGTAGGCAGATGTATGAAGTAGCACTGGTTAGTTGCGTATCCTTGACAGGACGTTGCAGAACCAACCCCAACAGCTCCTGGCTGTTGTGTGTTTTTTCAGTAGTTTGCAATTGCTCTCTGGACGGTCGGCTTTCTTGATACCACTGTCGAAACCAACGCAAGGCGCATGGCCCGCAGCTGGAATCGAACCCGGCACCCCGGCATTACGAAGCCTTTGTATCGACTTAGTCACAGAGCCGACTGTAACGTAGCACTAGGGTAACGTTTTACATATATCCAGTAAAATATAAAACAAAATGCAGACGTCATTATTCGTATTGTTTATTTGTAGGACCCAGTTCTGTTTGCTGGCAGTCTACGGA